TTGCCCAATCTAGATTCTACTGTTTCTAAATTACAACATTGTACTGTCTGTCATCTTTCTAAACACAAGAGACAACCATTTCCTCTTAGTACCAGTCATGCAACGGAACCTTTCCAGTTGATTCACATTGACATTTGGGGTCCTTTGTCTGTTGTTTCCTATGATGGTTATGTCTATTTCTTAACTGTGGTTGATGATTGTACACATGCTGTGTGGGTTTACCTGATGAAACATAAAAGTGAGGCCGGAGATCTGTTTAAAGGGTTCTGTAAATTGGTTAAGAACCAGTTTGGAACTACAGTAAAGGTAGTGAGAAGTGATCAAGGTAAGGAGTTTGACATGTGTGACTACTACATGGCAGAAGGGATAGAACATCAGATGTCCTGTGTTTACACCCCAGAGTAAAATGCTAGGGTGGAACGCATGCATCAACACATCTTGAATGTTGTCAGATCATTAAGGTTTCCATCTGGCATACCACTGTTGTATTGGAGTGACTGCATTCTTCATGCAGTTTATCTCATTAACAGGCTCCCCACACCTGTTCTGCAGAACATATCCCCTTATGAGGCTCTTTACAAGAAATCACCTTTCTTAGGCCATCTAAGGGTATTTGGTTGTTTAGTATATGCAAGTACAGTGGCTGCTGGTAGGACAAAATTTGATGCTAGAGCTAGACAATGTGTCTTAATAGGTATCCCTGCTGGTTTAAAAGGCTACAAACTACTTGATATTCAAACAAATCAAGTCTTTGTCTCAAGGGATGTTGTGTTTCAAGAATCTATTCTTCCCTTTAGACATGATTCACACTCCCCATCACAAGAACCTGACTCTCCTTCCCCTTCTGATCCACCACCTTCACCTTCTTCCCCTCCTTTTACTGCTCCTGGTTTATTGATTCCTTCTTCACCTCCTGTATCACCCTCTGCTGATGGGGGCCAGTCCATATCTATTCCAGATGCAACTAAGGCTGATGAGGACAATGACACCATGGATTCTGATTCACCCTATAGTCCAGAGCACCATGAGATGGAGACAGAATTAGAACCTCAACAGGACTATGAACCTCCAGTAAGTCCACAAAGATCTCATAAGTTACCTGCCAGGTTTGACAATTGTGAACTGGATCCCAATCTCAGTTTTGGAGCATTTGGATCATGTGCAACAGCATCTGAACACCCTACATATCTTGACTTAGAACACTTGAATGCTACTAACAGGGCTTTTGCCTTAAGTGTCATTTCTCATATTGAACCAGCCACATATTATGAAGCAATGCAGTCTGATGTATGGAATAGGGCAGTGCAGGAGGAACTTGGTGCCTTGGAGCAAAACCAAACATGGGATATAGTGAAGTTGCCAGATGGCAAGAAGGCCATTGGTATAAGTGGGTGTTTAAAATCAAAAGGAGAGTAGATGGTACTATAGAGAGTTTAAGGCTAGACTGGTTGCAAAAGGATATACTCAAGTCTATGGAATTGATTTCCTAGACACCTTTTCACCAGTAGCTAAAATCAACTCAGTAGAAGCACTCTTGGCAGTTGCATCTGTCAAGAACTGGACATTGGAACAGCTAGATGTTTCAAATGCATTTCTCCATGGAGATTTGGAAGAAGAGGTGTATATGAAAATACCTCTGGGACTTGATTTGAAGGGTGTTGATAGAAATGGAATGGCTTGCAGGCTTAAGAAATCACTATATGGTCTTAAGCAAGCCTCAAGACAGTGGTTTGCAAGACTAACAAGGTTTCTACTGAAAAATGGTTTTTCCCAGTCAGCTTCAGATTACTCTCTCTTCACCAAATGGGTACATGGCAGAATTGTGGTATTGTTGGTTTATGTAGATGATATAATCATAGGTGGGGATGCACCAAAGGACATAGAACAGATCAAAAAGGCTTTGAGCAAGGAGTTCAAGATAAAGCTGTTGGGACCTCTACAATACTTTCTGGGTATGGAAGTAAACAGGACTGCAGATGGAATCAGTGTTTGTCAAAGGAAGTATGCTATAGAATTGCTAAAAGATACTGGATACTTGGAAGCCAAAGGGTGCATCACACCATCAGACCCTAAAGTGAAGCTTACTGCTAACCAAGGAACACCACTGGAGGATGGAGAGGTGTATAGAAGATTGATTGGTAGGTTACATTATGTAACAATTACCAGACCTGACCTGACATACATTGTCCAACAACTGTGTCAGTTTCAAAATCAACCATGCAGTGATCATTTACAAGCAGCCTACAGGGTGTTTATGTACTTCAAGAACAGCCCTGAACAAGGCATACATTTCAGCAGCAATGCAGACTTGAAGTTGGTGGGATTCACATACTCAGATTGGGCTAGTTGTCCATACACTAGGAGATCAACAACAGGATACTGCACCTTCCTGGGAAGTTCTTTGCTAACCTGGAAAAGCAAGAAGCAGACCACAGTGTCCAGATCTTTATCAGAGGCTGAGTACAGGGCTTTGGCTCTTTTGGTGTTGTGAAGTTGAGCGGTTGAAGGGATTGCTAACTGAGTTAAGTGTGAAAGTGTCTTTACCTATTTCAGTCTATTGTGATAACATGTCTGCAATACATATAGCAGAGAATCCAGTGTTCCACGAGAGGACAAAGCATATAGAGATAGATATGCATGTAACCAGAGAACGCATCAAGACTGGATTGATCAAGCTTCATCATGTAAGTACATTCAATCAATTAGCAGACCTGTTCACGAAAGGATTGGTTAGAGCACGTACGCAGCGCTTACTGGTCAAGTTGGGAGTCAGAGTGACTGCCACAACTTGAGGGAGGCTGACAGAATGGAAATCCAGATTGCATAAGGATTGAAGAAGGAAAGGAACGAAGGAGAAGAAGCAGATCGAAACGTGTGAGGAAGAAGAAACGCTTTCAGCTGTCATTAGAGTTTCAAGAGAAGTTTAGTGTTTCTACGTCGTTTTATATTAGTAGTGTGTAAGAGGCAGTTAGCCGTTTCTAATTATCGTTTAAACTTTAACATAGACAAATGGAAAGCAGCCAAGTGGCAGTGCTCTGTAATCCATTTGTCTTTTGTCTTTCCGCTGAGCTATATAATGAAACAGGGTGACCTCAAATTTGAAACACATGCAGACATAACATAAAGCGTCTGTGCTTGAGCAATGGCTTTGATCAACCCTTCCAAAACCCTTGCAAAGTTTCTCTTAGCGGGAGGGATGGGTGACGTGGCAGAGTACGTAGCAGAAGTGGGATGAGTATTTTTAAGAAATTGCACGACAGGTGGACCGAAGTTGTGAAGGAAACTCATCAGCATAATAATTAAATGATTGACCTGATGGGATGGGGTACACAACAGTAAATGTAATATAAGAAGACATTGACCACGAAGGCCAGGAAATTGCTGCCAGATTTCCACTGCCAATAATGCTCTCTGATGATTTGGCAGTACAACAATTCATCTATGGATTGGTGGTGACATTTATTTTTACATATAAAAATTTGTGCATATCCACATTCCAGATACACTCACCAGCTTCATGATGATGGTGGGTGAGCATGTAATAGCTTCTGTTTTGGCTTCCTTCTTTCTTCCTTGAGCTAACCTAGAAATGGATTGGAAACTTTGCAGGCAGGCAGGTTCCTGTGTATTAGTATATAACTTCATGATGACCAGAATCTGGATGTATATGTATTCTAACTTCTTATGGGTGGTGCGTGGTGTAGATTCTTAGGAGCAAAGTTGGTAGACTCACACTCCTACTAGTAAAAGTTGCTAGCCCATGAAATAAGGTAAAATAGGGTTTAATATTTACCGGTTCGATAAAATGTGATATAATTAAAATCGATATAGATTTTATTATGATTTCACTATAATTTCACGATGCTACCAGTCGCGAGGACAGTTTGCTTGGTATCGAATCAATTGGTTGGGTGAATTACTCGTTATAGAGTCAGTTCAAGTGTGACTTAAATTCCTTTTTATGAAACAAATTAACATTATTTTCACTAGCTTAACCACCACCATGATTTACAAAGAATCTAGTTGGACATTACTACCTTTTATTTTCTGGACAACAAGAATACTTTAGGTTCATTCCATAGCTTATTGGAATACAAGCAAGAACAATCATGTAATTAATTAGGAGATGGGAAATAAGATCAAGAACATCAATTTAATCACGTGGGAGAGAGGATCATGCTTGAGAGTTAACAAAAACAATATCTTCTTGTGCATCATTAATCAATGGTCGTGAGAGTTTTCTACTCCTAGTAATATTATTGACAGCAAAGGAACTCTTGGTTTGGTTCTATGTTATCATTTACGAAATCTTTATTTTTATTTTTCCTTTACTTCAAAAGTCAAATGATTTGTAAGTGTGAAATGATGTTTAGGGGAGTTAAAATTTCATTCTATTTCAAGATGAACGACGACCTTCTACAAATATAGGAAAAATTGTTATTTCAATTCAATAATTTTTCATATTTTAAAATTTATATGTTGTCAGTAAAAAAAATTCAAGTTTTCGATCCATCGTAATTGCTACATCTTTAATTTCCCAGCATTGTCACATGGTACATAGCTAGGTATAAGAACAATTACATCTTTGGTTTAATGAAGATGTAAACTCCTTGAGCCATCCATCACATGCAAATGCAACTACACAACCCCTTTCCTGTGAGTTCTACATAGATTTCTCTAGAGAAGTTCAATTGTCGACGAGTTTATAGTCAATTCCAACACATAAACAACTACTACTCACGACTCATGAGACAAGATGGAGGCAATAAATTTATTAGTGTCGTATGATCGACAAAAAAAAACTATCTATATAGCCACCACCAAATTAAATCGTGTAAATTCTAAAAGAATCCAATACTTGGGATCCTTCCTCAGATTTGGAGCCCTATAAAAACCCCCCCAACCCTTTCGAACTTCTGCAAAAACAAACTCCACCAAACCCTCCCTTCTCTCAACTATCCCCTCCAAAAAACCCCTTTTCTCCTCAAAACCTCCCAAAAATGGACAAACCGCCTCCAAATATAGTAGCCCAGAGCTCCACCATAATCAACGGCTGGGGAAAACCCTACAACCCAAAAACGGCGTCACCCAACAACATCTCGTTCATGGCCTCCTTAATCTCCATCTCCGTCTACGTGTCCTTGGTCTATATCTGCCACATCTCCCCTTCCCAGCTCCTCCGCAACCCCAGCTTCTGGTGGGTCATCTCCAACACCTTGGTCCTCATCATCGCCGCCGACTACGGCGCATTCTCCTCCTCCTCCGCCGCCTCCGTACAACCTTGTCATGATCACGACGACTCCTACGAGATCATGAGACGTACATCCGTCCGCACCCGATTCCCTCCCGCCAACGTGGCCCCCACCGCCGCAGCCGCTCCCCTCCCGCCCATTCCGCCCCCGGAGCTCGTGACCAAGGAACAGGCCGCGACGTTGTTGGCGCCTTTCCCGAGGAGGACGCTGACGCGTCGGAACAGCACGCCGGAAGCCGCGCGTGCATTGGCGAGGAGGCTCGTTTGCAACGAGAAGAACGTCGATGAGGAGTGCAGGAGCATATTGAGGAAAGGTGGGAGCGAATCGGCTCGTTACACGTGTCCTCCTCGGGGCGACAACGACGAGGTGTCGGCGGGGACGTCGACGGCGTTGCGGCGGAGTAAGTCGGAGAGAGGGAAGAGGAGGGTGATGATCGACGAGAGCAGAAACGTCGTCCGGAGATTCGAGAAGATAGTTGTCACCACCCCACCGGAGGAGGAGGAAGAAGAAGATTCCGGCCACCGTCACGAGGAAGACAGCGATGGCGATGATGATAGCGAGTATGCGAAGCTGTCGACGGAGGAACTCAACAAACGCGTGGAGGATTTCATTCAGAGGTTTAACACGCAAATCCGGCTCCAGAACCAGGCTTGTGATTACGGGGAGCTAATTCCTTCCTTAATTAATCAATAATAACTCTCTAAGAATATTAATTAATTAATTGGACATGTATATGACTATATGTACTTACGTACCTGTACATATGTATACATATATCATATATATGTGGCCCCCACAATATTGGAGATCTAAGGGAGTTGTGCGCGGCACATCAAGAGCAAGGAAGAAGGAGTACTTGATTTATCAAAAGAAATTCCGGGAAAAAATACCAAGAATTTTGCCCCTATTATTATTAAATTATTGTTCTGTTGGATTTGGCCTTATTGGGAATGGAATTGGAAGGAATAGATGAGTTTAGTAAATTTTTATCGGGCTGTCTAGCATTAGGCTTGTGCTTGTGATACGGTAAATAATCATTGGTTATTAATACATGAATAACTAAATTTTGGCCTTTAGAATAGATCTTAGTCTATAAAATTCAGATCTAATAATTTTGAATTAAAAATATTTTTTTTTTCTTATTTTCTTAATCGGTTCTTATCTTCTTCGTTCGAACTCGGATTTCATTTTTTTTTTTTTTTGCACAGATGGAACGACTTTGTTGTGCTCTACAAAATGAGATTAATTTCAATATATTTCGAGAAAATTTTTTTCATACCTCCCATTACCAACTATATACCATATGGTAACTTCTTCGTTTTTTAGTCGTTTTTGAAAATATTTGCTCAGATGGAACGAGTTCACCATGATCTATTGGATCTACAAATTTCTGGGTGAAAAAATACATGATCAAAAGTTACCATACGTTACCACTATGGTATGTGGGTAGTAACTTGTGGTAAAAAATGATGAAAGTCGTAAATGACAGTTACTATAATCCTACTATGATGTATTCAACCTTCCTACCATATTGGTATGTTCATACAATCATGACACGCTTTCTTATCATATGGTATTAAATAGGAGCATATCATATGGTATTGACTGGTCAAAATTACTCAATTTTTTTGTTCTAAAAATATATCAAAGTGGATATCATTTTAAAGAGCACAATTAATTTGATTTTATTTGTGCAAAAAAAAAAAGACTTAAAACGAGAGAGAAATCGTCCGTTAAAGATTAAAGGAGAAAATATAAAAGGCTTTCCATGAAAGAGAGTGATGTTGATGTTATTCTGATGTAGACGAGTTACTTATGGTTACTCACCATAAAGTTACTGAATTGATACGCTCCTTGGCATTACTACCATTGTCAAGGAATGATAATCATCCGCAATCGTGGCTATTGGTTACTCTCTATTTTGTATCTAATCCATCAAAATATCAAATTAATCCACCCATTTAATTCGAACTCAATTAGATTGCTGGATTTTTAGATTGTTTACAGATTGCAGTTTAATGCCTATATTTTTTTATTTTTTACAATTGCATTCCTCAATATTAATTTTTTAATGAAAGATAATATTGAAAAATTACATTTTGGTACCTATTATTATTATGATATTTTAGTACCTAAATTTTTTAAAAATTTCATATTGGTCCAACATTTATATGTTACTTGGATCCATCATTAATCCGATCTACTAATCCGTTTGATCCAATCCAAAAATCCACCATTCCATTTGCTCAGAGGCGGAGGCAGGGGGTCCGGGCAGTGTGTCGTGACACCGATACTTTTGGGAGTGAAAAAAAATAACCCCACATATGTAGAATTTAAGGATTGTACCCATGACCTCTAAGTTGATTAAAAGTGTTTTACCACAACACTACAAGCTAATTCTTGTTTAAAAGAGGACACGGGTATTTTTGAATAAATTGTTTAGATATTAGTTTTAATTATATTAATTATTTATTTATATTATGAAAAGAGAACACGAGTATTTTTTAATCCTGGCTCCGCCACTGCATTTGCTCCAAATCCATGAATCTAATTCATTTGACACTTGTATCTCCAACTCAATCCACAAGGGGGATTTTGTAAGAACGTGGGTAGAGGTGGCAAATGGATTGGATTGGTGGATTGGATTGGTGGATCCATGGATCAAATGGATTGGATCTAATGGATTGGTGGATTCATGGATTGGATCAAGTGGATTGGTGGATTATCCATGAATCCAAATGACATCCTCAACCAAGGACCAATATGTAAAATGTAAAAAGTTTAGGTACTAAAATGTCACAATGAAAAATTATAGGTACCAAAACGTAATTTTCCAATGATATTTTTTGTATAAAAAATAAAATTTTAGGTACCAAAATGTAAAAAATAAAAATTATAGGTACTAAATTGTAATTTGCCAATGATCCATGGATCCAATCCATGAATCCACCAATCCAATTGGATTTGGATCAAATGGATTGGATTTAAATGGATTGGATTAAGTGGATATTTTTAATGGATTGATGGATTGGATTGGTGGATTGGATTGAAATTGCCACCTCTAAACGTGGGTAAGATTTATGTTAAGATCTCTCTCAACAGCTTGATTTATTTGAACCAATTGGTTTATGACATAATATCATAATTGGTTTATCCTTGAGGTCACGTGTTCAAGTCATTACGACTCATAATATTAACTTTTGTCTTAAAGTACATGGTATATTGAGCTATACAATTTTCAAGCCTATAAGTAATGAATTATTTTTCATTTGAGAGGGGCGTGTATGAAAATAGTTAAGATTCATATATAGACTTTTTTTTACCAACTCGAGTTATTGAAACTAGTTGGTTTGTAAATTTTTATTTAAATTCACCTAGTTGTAGACTGTGGCGGATCTAGGGGGTGGCCACCCCGGGCCACGGCCCAGCCCTCATTTGGATCCGTAGCTAGTATAGCGCCCTTATGAGTTTCAACAACTACTATGTAGAGAACTTTTTTTTAACAATAATACAGGTGAAAAATTATTTGTGTAACAAAATGAGCGATTCGCGGATTGGTTAACTATTTTATCTGAAAGAGAGTATGCTATTGATATGGATTAGATTCCATTATTGATGAATTCACTATATTTAAATTTAATAGATCGACGTGTACAATTGATATTGTAAAAAAAACTTTGATTTCTTTTACAATATCTAATTTTCTAATGAAATACGGTCCAGTACTCTACTTTGTTCTGGATCCTCCGTTGGTTTGGTTGTAGACGGGTAAATGGAAACAAACTTACTAAGAAGATGACGGGATGGATTTAGTAGCCGAAGCCATTAAGCCAGCATGTTTAATATCCCCTTCGTTTGATTCCTCTACATATATTTCATCTAATCCCCCCCTCTACTCCCATCCTCCACCAAATTCCAAATACAACACAGCACAAAGTTTATGAATTTTATTTTTCCAAATTCATCAACACATGTAAACAAGAACTTGTTTAGTAGTACTATAATTGATCTTCAACTTAGAGATTTTATATTCAAATTACTTAATTAATATTTAACAACAAAAACAAACTTATATCACCTTATAAAAAAAAATTATCTAACAAATGCCACCTCGTTTCTAACCCAGATTTGATATTTAAATCCTAAATTTTAAGTAAAAAGGGAACAAATACATTAACTCTTTTATTGTGCTTATTGTATTTTTCCTTTTGGTAATCACTAATCATTTTATGACACATGATATTATTTTAATGTTCATTCTCTAAAAATTGAACATATTTTCAAATTTTTTTTTTAGGGAACATATTTTCAAATTAATTACATTGGTTTCAGGATAAATTTTGATTGGTATTCATAAAAAAATTGATTGGACGTGCGAGACAAATTTTCCTCACCAACATCCGATATACCCGCAAGACTGAAGACGAGCATGAAATATCTCAACCAGCATGGAAATTAATAAAATACAAATTTAAAAAAACGATAACGAAAATGAAGCATGGGAATGAATTTTGGATAATACACACCAATCCAATCCAACTTATTGTCATATCTACTTATCTAGTCTTCAAATGTCACATAATCTAGCGGTGAAATCATTAATGGACGCTTGTTACGAAAGGTGGCAGATTTCATGTTCAACTCCTATCATGATCTGTTACAGACTATAGAGTTCCCAAAAGCATTTTAATACAGATCTTTTTGAAGAACCCGAAAGGTCAAGCAGGTGAACCTCTAAATTTGATTTCGTTCAACCATCGCTCAAGCGGTTTCTAGGTTATAAAAGAAATCCTTAGTCATTGCTAGTTTAATATACTAGCTAGAGCGTTTACTCTCGCTAGTGGCTATGTTTTTTCAAACACTGTCAAGTTGCAACAATATCGATCATATATGCTAGTTATTTTTCTTTTTCCTCCTGGTTTTCTGGTTATAATTCCCCTCAAACGTAAATTAATCACCGACTATATATACATATGATCATTGATGAACTAATAGACTCATTTCTGCTAGAGAAAAATAAAAGAAATGGAAAACGTATAAATATCCCAAACCTTGACTTATAACCAAGAGTCTATAGAGTGCACATACCAAACAAATCGGCATGTTCTTGGTTACTATACACAGCTGAGAGTGGAATGGGCCGCGATTCAACTACTCAGTTCCTCAGATAACGAAATTAGTAATGAATAAACCATCAAGTTGTCGTCCGGCTATTTGACTATTTATAGTTAGCTTGATTCAGTATTCGTAAGGCTTAGTGATAACATTATATAGAAGATAATTTGGAACATTTTTAAATAATTATCATAGTGCTTGGTTAATATTTTTGGACTTTTGTGACGTAAATTTGTGGTACGTACACTTTATAACATTTCATGTTTAATTGGATGAGTTATTTCGAATTCAAATGTTTATTATCTCTATCTTATCCATTTAGCTAGTATTATGAATTAGGAGATTTGGCAAATGAATTGGATTCTTGAACTGGTGGATTATTTGATGGGTGGATCCATGAATCAAGTGGACAGGATCTATGGATTGGTGGATATATCCACGAATCCAAACGAAATCCAAGGATTTGACCATCATGTAAAATTTGAAAAGTTTAGGTACTTAAATGACATAATGAAAAAATTTAGGTACCAAAAAGTAATTTTCTACAATGATATTTTTTGAACAAGATTTCAAGTCAC